GATTACAGGTGTGCACTACTATGCTGGGTTGCTTTCTGAGTTTTTAAATGTCTTTATTTATTTTTTTTTCAATATTTATTTATTTATTTATTTATTTATTTTTCTGTGTGTGGCCAGCTCAGCCCACCAGGGGGCAGGGGCTGGCTGGCATGTGGTGCTGGGGGATTGAAACGTGGTCCCTGTGCTTCGCTTAGCTTAGTTCTAAGTAGATGCTTTAGACCACTGAGCCATCTCACCAGCCCCTTAATAAGGAATTTTTTTTTTTTTTTTTTTTCTCCTTGAATGCCTTCCGGGCACTTTTGCATGGCTGGAGTGTTGTGGGGATCGAACTACAGCAAACTGAGGCTGCCAGCATTGTGGAAGCAGCCACTTAAAGAACTGAGCTAGGGCTGGGCCCCCTTAAATGTCTTTAAATGTCCTATTTAAAACATCTCCCACTACAACATGATTCTGTTTAACAGAACATTACTCCACTGCACTTTTTTTTTTCTTTTATTCACATAACTTTTATTGACTAGTTATTGTAGGCTAGGCCTTTTTTCATTTCTTTCCAACTCTGTAAGATGAACTGTAAGTATTATGTCAGTTTTGAAGGTAAGAAGCTGAAGTTCAGGCAATTTCCAGATCTCACAATGTTACCTACCTATCCACACATGCCCAACAAATGAAAGTTTGTCTTTTTTAAAAATCAAGGTGAAATCATATCACTTAAAGTATGCACATCTTAATAATAATCCCGTGTGTATCAGTGTTTTTGTATGTGCGGTGGTGGGCAGACTGCAGCTAGGGCCTTCACACTGAGTTCCATCCCCATCCCTTTTGAACTTTTGAGGCAGCCTTGCTCACTTGCTCCAGTTGGGCAGGTGTGGTTCAAACTTGCAACCTTTTCACCTCAGTCTCCCAAAGTCCTGGGATCACAGGCTTGCACCACCATTCCCAGCTTCACATGGCATTTATTTTTTGGAAATAAGATTGCTTTTTCTTTTCTTAAAATGGGTGTTTTTTGGTTTTTTTGGCACTGCATGGGATTGAATCCAACCTAGCTCATGCTAGGCAGGCACTGTACCTTTGAGTTACACCTCTGACCCTTGTTTTTGTGTCTTTTTCTTCTACAGTTGATAAACATGAAACAAGCTTTTGAAACAAATAAATAAGACATATTTTTTCTTTTATCTATAATTAAAATACAATTATGGAGTGGAAGAACTTCTGTGTAAAAAGGTGAAGAAGGTAACATTATTAACAAGACTAGTTCTTCCAACTCATAAGATTCACACACAACAGAGCCCCCAGTGTTTTTGAGTTCATCACTTTTTTACATAATTTTCAAATAACAACATTGATAAAGGTCAGTACGAGAATGGGTGGGAATAATATCTTATTCCTTATTATTTTGCAAGAAAAATGGACTGGGCCTGCAAAAAGCTTTTTATTTATTTATTTATTTATTTATTTATTTTTTGGTGGAACCAGGGATTGAACTCAGGCCCTTGTGCTTGCCAGGGAAGCACTTATTCCGCTGAGCCATCTCCCCGCCCCCCTGCAAAAAGCTTTTTTAAAAAAATAGTGAAATAAAACTCCAATTGTTGCTCAGTTCAAAATACTGCCTTTTACTTTATGTTTAATTTCCATGTGAATATATTCTCAATAAATAGCTTCTTCTATAAGCATCTGTTTGACCACTGTTTTAAACGCCAAAATGTAGTAGTGTGGGGCTTTTAAGAAGCACTAGAAGGACAAGAACCAGGAAATTTGAGGCAAAATACCCTTATCCTTCTACTCAGGCAGCACACATGGCATTTAATAGCAACTTTGTATTAGAAATCTTACCTAAATTCTTTCCTACATTCAAATCCATTGATCCTTTTCACTAAGAAGATAACACAAGTCAGAAAAGGTGAAGGTCACCTTCTGACTGCCCTGTCCCTGCGCCATGGCTGCAGTCAGGGCTCTGGTGGTGTCAAAGCAGGTGGCGGCCTCTTTGTTCGCGCTGGCACTGCATGGCTTGGCGCTGCATCCCGGGGCCCAAGGGGCGCTGGTGCTGTCTGGCTACGGAGTCTACAATGGGCCAGAGATTCCTGAGGCTTCAGCGATCCTGGTGCACCTGAGCCATGGAGGAGCTGAGGTCCAGATCTGTGCCCCTGATATCCCTCAGATGCCTGTGATGGACCACACCGAGGGGCAATCTTTAGAGAACTAGAGCACCAGAGCAGGAAGGTTTTGAGTCTGGAAGGATCGCCAGAGGCAAGATCAGCAGCTTGGCCCAGCCCAGCACAGCCAACCATGATGCAGCCATCTCTGGAGGCTTCGGAGCTGCCAAAAACCTGAGCACGTTTGCTGTGGACAGGAAGGACTGCAGAGTCAATGAGCATGTGGTGCAAGTCTTTTTTTTTTTTTGGCAGAACTGGGGATTGAACTCAGGCCCTTGCGCTTGCCAGGGAAGTGCTTATTCTACTGAGCCATCTTCCCCAGCTCCATGTGGTGCAAGTTTTGAAGGAGTTCCACAAGGCTGGGAAGTCCATCGGCGTGTGCTGCATCGCACCTGTCCTTGCAGCCAAAGTGCTCAGAGGTGTTGAGGTTACTGTGGGCCACGAGCAGGAAGAGGGCGGCAAGTGGCCTTACGTTGGGACTGCAGAGGCCATCAAGGCCCTGGATGCCAAGCACTGTGTGAAGGGTGTGACCGAAGTTCATGTGGACCAGAGGAACAAGGTGGTCATGCCCCCAGCCTTCATGCGTGAGACTGAGCTGCGCCATATTCACCATGGGATTGGCGAAGAGCGTGCTGGAGCTTGCCGGGAAGTAAGGGCCTCACCTACCCACTACCAGGAGCGGTGCCCTTGGTGTGCCGCTGGGCACTCGGCAGCAGTGAGATCAGCTCAGGTCCTGGGCACCTTCCTGGATGAGGGAGCCATGACACATGGGGTGGGAGGCTCCAGGCAGTGGTCCCTGCTTGGCCACCAGAGCAGGGGTGACTTCCCTCACCCATGTGTCCTGCAAACTGAAGTTGGACCCAGACAGGGAACTAAGTAGAGAAATAACTATTTTCACTGTCAGGTTTGATGGCTCAGAGTTTAGATGCAGAAATGTTTTAAGGTTACAAGTCTGATAATTGGGGTATGAGGAGCACTGCGTTCACAGATAAAGTTCTATAATATGAAGTAAATAATGTGCTAATTAAAACAAGGGAATTTCTGGAGCCAGTAGTCCCATTAGCCCTGGAGAATAAACTTTCCGGATTGGAAACTTTTGAAAACAGAAAAGAAAAGGTGAAGGTATCATCATAGGAAAGTATGTCTCTATTACCAAGATTGTTTATCAAGGGGCAACCACTTAAGACAAGGCTCTCTCTCACCTTTGGCCTCTTTCCCAAATTTGGTTTTTCGTATCCTTTTCAGAATTCTTCCTTCCCTTTACACTCCTTGCAGCCCTGAAGTCCTTTATTTGCACAGTTGCTCACACTTGTCCATCTTTAAGAAGGTTCATGCCTCCTGTTACATTATAAATTCTTTAAGGAGATAGTGTATTTTGGCTCCCTGTAGTAACCAACCAAAGGTCTAGTGCACAATAACCCAATAAACACATTCTGAAGAAACATAAATTTGTTCTTTATTAATCAAAAATGTGCTAGTTTGCCCTTAATAGAGTAGTTCAAGTTCAGGACACCTTCTGTACAGACCAAGGGATTCTGTACTTTATGTTGAAGCCTCATTATTTTCAACTGAAAGTTTATAAATTGGGAGTAATTTCCTAATTTTCTTCCTGGCCCAAGGAGGCAGGGTTGCCACGTATAAACAGTACTGCTGGTGAGATTTACAGCTCTCAGGAGACGTGGCGCTCTGGCTATCAGAGGGCAAACAACTTTGTGACCAACAGGCCCTTCCTGGATTCCTCCGGAATTGTGTACTTTGTGGGTTCTTTTGTGCTGGGTCAAGTTTTAAAATTTCTGAAAGCTGCAAAACATATTTATGCAATGAAAAAAATACTTAATTTGTAAATTACACCTCTTAAGTTATAAATTTGTAAGATAAACTGACAGGAATGCCCTAATGAAAACCATACAAGAACAGGAAAAACTGTAATAGGAAGCCTACCTATCATTTTGGTAATTCACAAGTTACACCTTTTGCTAAGTTATACATTTCTGAAACAAAATGACACCACAGTCTGAAAAATAGGCAAGACGTTAGGGGAGCACTGAAAAAGAAAAATTAAAACATGAAGTCTGCCTTCCAAATACAAAGAGAAGAAAGGCGCATCAATGCCTGGATTATTGCTGTAAATCCTATGCTAAGTCTCGGTATTTGTGTGAATTCTTGGGCTTAAATAAAGAAAAACTGTAAAATACAACATCAACTTAAGCGCACACAAAGCTTCCGTGGACACAGTGTTGAATGTACAATCTCCTGGTTGTGTAACAGGACAGGTAAACACTGGCCCTGGAGGTCACCGCCGCGCTAGGCGTAGCGCTGGCTCGCCCAGATTACCGAATAACCTTCGCCTGCATTTCCCCTTTCGGGTCTGGTTGGCAGAAGGAAAGCGGCCTAGCCTCACCGGCCGGCACTCAAACACCCCTTGAGAGGAAATCCGGGCCCGGTGTCTGGCGAACAAAGTCGGACCCGGGTCGGAGAGCGCTCAGGCCTTCCTCCCCAGCCACCGCGTGGAGTTCGAAACCCGCCTTGCGGAGTCGCGGTTCCCCGCTCGGCTCGGGACGCGCTTCTGGATGGATTCTGCGCCCCGCACCGTTGGGCGAAAGGGGCTTCGGAGGGCGACGGGCCGACGTGCAGCCGCGCACAGCGCGATCGTCCGGGCTCGCTGTACCCGCCCGGGCGTGGCGTCCCCCCGCCGGAGCCCGCAAAGACCCGCCAGGGTAGCGGACACGCTGACCGCGCCCCTCCCACGTGAAGGGCGGTGCGGCTCGCGCACCCACTCCGAGCCGTCCCATTGGATCAGAGCGTGAGTGACGCGCGGAGGTCCCGCCCCGCCGCCCGCGCCCCGGGCGCTGACGTGTCGCGGTAGCGGCTTCCGCTCCTCCCCGCACCTTATCCACTCAGCGCGGCGAGAGGGGCGGGGAAGCCGGGGTGGCGCTGCCCTCGGCCCCCGCTCCCGGCCCGCCCCGCCGCCCCGGCCCCCCGGATGAGGGTATATATTTCGGGTGGGCCCGGGACGCAGATGAGTGGCCTAGCCGAGGGAGCCGTAGCCGGGTGGAGCCGCAGTCGCGCGGAGGGAGGTACGGGCTCTCGGTGAGGGGAGGCGGGCAGCTCCACGCACGCTCCACGCCACGCGTGCGGATGAGGACACAAGTTGCACGTCGAGCGCGGGGTGGACGTGGACCCTGGCGGCGGAACCCGCACACTCGCGCCGCGTCCGGCTACCCGGCTGGAGGGTGTGCGTGCTGTGCCGCGGTTGGGATCCGGGAGGGATAAGGGCGCCCGGGGGTGGAGGACTGGAGAGGAGGCTTGGGCGACGTCTGGTGTCAGGTGGGGGTAGGGGTGGGTCCTTAACGGGACGGGCGTGGGAGCCTTGAGGGTCTCAGGTCAGGGCAGTGGAGACAGTTGCCAAGTTAGGGAGGCCCCCTTCCAAAGAGGATGCGAGGCCTTTGGAACAGTCAGGTGGGAGCGAGCGTCGTGGATGAATGAAAAAGATTTTTAAGAGCCGGCGAGATAGCTCAGTGGACTGAGCGCCTGCTTAGGCAAGCTCCGGGATCAGGGTTCCATCCCGGGCACCACATGCCGCGCCAGCCCCGCTCCCAGTGCGCTGAGTCGGCGCGTGGCGGTGGATGCCTGTAATCTCAGTCCTGGGGAGGCTGAAAACAAGAGGATCACTAGGATTCTGAGATGCGTAGTGAGACCATGTACCAAATACATTTTAAAAAAAGAAACAAAAAAAAAAAAAAAAAAAAAAGAACTTCTCTACAAAAAGATTTTAAGAGCTCTCTGACAGGACAGGAGATACCTGTGCAGCACTCCACTGTGGACCAAACCTGCTTGGTGGTTGCCTCTTAATTAGTAGTGAGAGAGGGTTTGGAATTTCAGGATGTCTCCTTGTTTGGCCAGGCAGAAGGGTGGGATTGGAAGGCTGAGAACATACATGTGCTGAACAGATGGCTCTTTGAAGATGTGATCAAGTTTGGCCTGATGCTGTATGTGATGCAGTGTTCATGCATGGTTCATGAAATCTTGAAGTCAGGTGGTAGCGATCATGATCGGATGTGTGTGTCATGGAGTGCAACAGTTTAAAGACTTTGAGGTGAGCCTCACGGGTGTGGGCCAGGGGTTTTCAGGAAATGGAAAGCAGTTGTGCAGACGATTAGTTGGCTCACTTAGCTGGGGCCAGAAAAGACTACATAAGCTGTGCTGCCAGTCAGTCAGTAGCCTCTATTTTCAAAAAATCTTAACAGGTCTGTTTAATTGTTTTAAGGGCACGCATAGAGTGGTACAGGTAGAGATTGGGACCGAAAGGAAGGATGACGTGAAAGGGGAGACAGTGGATTTCTTTAATTCTGATATTTAACTTGTAATAGAGGTATATTTAGTAATAGATTATTATCAAGTTGGTCATTTGTTTAGGTGCAGTGTATTATTAGGCTATGGGCATGTACCAAATCTTAGTACAGTATTTAGAGTTGATTTTCAATATTTGGTTGTCAAAAATATGTATCTTTTCTTCACTCTTACTCATTTATATATATATATATATATATATATACATACATATATATATGTATATCTGTTATCAGCAATAGAAAATATATTACTATATTTACAGTATGGAAGTAGATCTATCTGCTTCAAATAAACATAGGTAAAGTATGCTTTTCTGAAACTTAGCACACAAAATACCTTGTTACTCTTCGAATTGCCAGTTCTGAGCCTAGTTATCAAGCTTGAACTTACATGTAGTGCTATTTACCTGGATCCATTGTTTTAATTGTCTGGTGGTGGATGAGTATCTAATGACTTTTTAGAAAAAAATTGATTTAGAACTTAAAATGTTAATGTTCACACATGCTTTTTATTAGGCAGTCTTTTCTACCCTTCTGAAGATAAGTGAAAAAGTTCAGTTGTCACTTCATGAGAAAATACATGCACAAGGAAGTGAAATGATTCACACAGGATCAGTTGTTGGGGAAGGGAATCAAGAACCGGGACTTATTCCCTGATTACTTGTTTCTCTACTTACTTTCCCTCTACAGTGTGTTTCTTTATATCTGGGCAAAACCAGAACTATAAATGATACTGTGGAACTCATCCTTTGAAAATAATGTATTGTAAATTTGTCCATCTCAGTTGTTTTATTTCATATGTATTACAGCAATAAAGGCATAGTATCATGACTTGGAATTTATGTAAGTCAATAGAAGCACCTTTAATACCCCAGACTGAGTCTCTTGACTTGTGTTATATCTGCTTATATGGCTGAGGGGAGCTCCTTCAAACTATGACTTGGTATGTGTGCTGATGACCTTGAAAGTTGTATTAGCTCTGACATTGCCTCTGAAGCCTAAACTACTGTATTTTGCCATCTTCTCAGCTTTCTATTTTGGATATCTAAAAGCCGTCTCAAGCTTAGTATGACCAAAAATGAAGTATTGATTCTTTCTGATCTCATGTACACCCCTAAATTTGCTCCCATCTGGTGTTTCCCTGTCCTTAATAAATGGCACCAGTACTTGGAGTCATCTTTACTTAGTTCACATCTGTTTGTGTTACTTCATGTTCAGTGTATTGCCTAATCCCATAATTCATTTTGCCCCTGCTATCTCTCATCTAGTCTACAGTAGTAATTCCTAAGTGGTCTCCTTGCTTCCACTTTTGCCTTCATTATAATATTCCTCCCACCTTCTCTCCTACACACAACAGCAAATGATCCTTTTAAAACCTGAATCAGACCCTTATATTCATTCCCCAGTGGCCTCCTAAACCTGAAAGTCCTTGCACTGAATACAAGGTCTGGTCTAAGTTCCAGCCTTGCTTCCCTAGAGAATCTTAGAGAAATCTAACTTGGAGGGCCTTATTTTCTCATTGTACTGCAGCTGCCTCAACCTTTTGTTTTTCTTTGAACACATTCCTGTCTTGGGGGCTACCCAGTGTTTTACCTTGGCTTGTCCCTCTCTTCACATGTATTCACGAATGTGAGCTGGGTAGAGCCCTTACCTGAGTACTCATCTGCAGTTCTTTTCAATGTCTATGTTCCTCTTTAGTCCCCTCTCCCACTTTTTTTTTCCACAGTCTTCTCTCTCTTTTTTTTGTATAGTCTTATCTCATAACACTATCTAATATTTTATGTATTTGTTTTCCACATTGGAATATGGGCACGCACATTGTTGTTTTCTTCGTTTTGTGTGCTTATCATGTAGATCAGTACCTGGTGGACAATAAATGCTTATTAAATGGTGCAGTGGATCACATGAAAGTAATTTTTCTTCCTAAATTGACTATTAGCTATATTTGCACATTGTAAGGAAGCTTTTATTTTTTATATTTTTTAATTTGAGAAGGACTTTTGTTTTTTTTTTTTTTTTTT